AGAAGGAAGGAAAAATCCTGCATCACATGGAAAATAAACAATATGTTACTGAATGATCAATGGGTTACAGAAGACATAAAGGAGGAAATCAAAAAATCCTTAGAGATAAACGACAATTCAGACACAACATACCGGAATCTATGGGACACAATGAAAGCAGTTTTAAGAGGGAAATTCATTTCCTGGAGTTCATTCCTCAAAAAAAGAAAAAACCAACAAATAAACGAACTCACACTACATCTCAAAACCCTAGAAAAGGAAGAGCAAAACAACAGCAAATATAGCAGAAGACAAGAAATAATTAAAATCAGAGCGGAAATCAACGAAATTCAAACAAAAAAAACCATTGAAAAAATTGATAAAACTAAAAGTTGGTTCTTTGAAAAAATAAATAAGATCGACAGACCCTTAGCCATGCTAACGAAGAGAAGAAGAGAGAAAACTCAAATCACTAACATACGGGATGAAAAAGGCAATATCACAACAGACACTACAGAAATACAGAAGATAATTAGAAAGTATTTTGAAACCCTATATTCTAATAAAATAGAAGACAGTGAAGACATCGATAAATTTCTTAAATCATATGAGCTGCCCAGATTGAGTCAGGAAGACACACACAATTTAAACAGACCAATAACAAAGGAAGAAATAGAAGAAGCCATCAAAAGACTACCAACCAAAAAAAGCCCTGGACCAGATGGGTATACAGCGGAGTTTTACAAAACCTTCAAAGAAGAATTAATACCAATACTTTTCAAGCTATTTCAAGAAATAGAAAACGAAGGAGCTCTTCCAAATTCATTCTATGAGGCCAACATCACCCTGATCCCGAAACCAAAGACACTTCAAAGAAAGAAAACTACAGACCAATATCTCTAATGAACATAGATGCAAAAATTCTCAATAAAATCCTGGTGAATCGAATACAAAAGCATATCAAAAAAATTGTGCACCATGATCAAGTAGGATTCATCCCTGGGATGCAAGGTTGGTTCAATATACGGAAATCAATAAATATTATTCACCACATCAATAGACTTAAAGATAAGAACCATATGATCGTCTCGATAGATGCAGAAAAAGCATTCGACAAAGTACAGCATCCTTTTATGTTCAAAACACTAGAAAAACAGGGGATAACAGGAACTTACCTCAACATTGTAAAAGCTATATATGCTAAGCCTCAGGCTAGCATCATTCTAAATGGAGAAAAACTGAAGGCATTCCCGCTAAAATCTGGAACAAGACAGGGATGCCCTCTCTCACCACTTCTATTTAATTTAGTCCTTGAAATACTAGCCAGAGCAATTAGACAGACAAAAGAAATTAAAGGCATAAAAATAGGAAAAGAAGAACTTAAAATATCACTATTTGCGGACGATATGATCCTATACCTAGCAGACCCAAAAGGCTCTACAAAGAAACTACTAGAACTAATAAATGAATTCAGCAAAGTGGCAGGATATAAAATCAACACGCATAAATCAAAGGCATTCCTGTATATCAGCAACAAAACTTCTGAAATGGAAATGAGGAAAACCACCCCATTCACAATATCCTCAAAAAAAATAAAATACTTGGGAATCAACCTAACAAAAGAGGTGAAAGATTTATACAATGAAAACTACAGAACCCTAAAGAGAGAGATAGAAGAAGATCTTAGAAGATGGAAAAATGTACCCTGTTCATGGATAGGCAGAACCAACATCATCAAAATGGCGATATTACCCAAAGTTCTCTACAGGTTCAACGCAATGCCAATCAAAATCCCAACGGCATTTCTGGTAGAAATAGATAAAGCTATCATGAAATTCATATGGAAAAACAAAAGACCCAGAATTGCAAAAGCAATTCTAAGCAGGAAGTGTGAATTGGGAGGTATAGCGATACCAGATTTCAAACTGTACTACAGAGCAATAGTAACAAAAACAGCATGGTACTGGTACCAAAACAGGCAGGTGGATCAATGGTACAGAATAGAGGACACAGAGACCAATCCACAAAATTACAACTTTCTTATATTTGATAAAGGCGCTAAAAGCATGCAATGGAGAAAGGATAGCATCTTCGACAAATGGTGCTGGGAAAACTGGAAATCCATATGCAACAAAATGAAGCTGAACCTCTTTCTCTCGCCATGCACAAAAGTAAATTCAAAATGGATCAAGGACCTAGATATCAAATCAGAGACTCTGCACCTGATAGAAGAAAAAGTTGGCTCCGATCTACACATTGTGGGGTCGGGCTCCAAATTCCTTAATAGGACACCCATAGCACAAAAGTTAATAACTAGAATCAACAAATGGGACTTATTTAAACTAAAAAGTTTTTTCTCAGCAAGAGAAACAATAAGAGAGGTAAATAGGGAACCTACATCCTGGGAACAAATCTTTACTCCTCACACTTCAGACAGAGCCCTAATATCCAGAATATACAAAGAACTCAAAAAATTAAACAACAAGATAACAAACAACCCTATCAACAAATCGGCGAAGGACCTGAACAGACACTTCTCAGAGGAGGACATACAATCTATCAATAAGTACATGAAAAAATGCTCACCATCTCTAGCAGTCAGAGAATTGCAAATCAAAACCACCCTAAGATACCATCTCACTCCAGTAAGATTGGCAGCTATTATGAAGTCAAGCAACAATAAGTGCTGGCGAGGATGTGGGGAAAAGGGTACACTTGTACATTGCTGGTGGAACTGCAAACTGGTGCGGCCAATATGGAAAGCAGTATGGAGATTCCTAGGAAAGCTGGGAATGGAACCACCATTTGACCCAGCTATCGCCCTTCTCGGTCTATTCCCTGAGGACCTTAAAAGAGCATACTATAGGGATACTGCCACATCAATGATCATGGCAGCACAATTCACAATAGCTAGACTTTGGAATCAACCCAGATGCCCTTCAATAGATGAATGGATTAAAAAACTGTGGCATTTATACACAATGGAGTATTACGCAGCACTAAAAAATGACAAAATCATGGATTTTGCAGGGAAATGGATGGCATTAGAGCAGATTATGCTAAGTGAAGCTAGCCAATCCTTAAAAAACAAATGCCAAATGTCTTCTTTGATATAAAGAGAGCAACTAAGATCAGAACAGGGAAGAAGAGCATGAGGAAAAGATTAACATTAAACAGAGACGAGTGGGGGGAGAGAAAGGGAGAGAGAAGGGAAACTATGGAAATGGAAGAAGACCCTCATTGTTACACAAAATTACATATAAGAGTTTGTGAGGGGAAAGGGGAAAAAAAAAACAAGGGAGAGAATTAAACAACAGCAGATGGGGTAGAGAGGGAAGATGAGAGGGAAGGGGAGGGGGGATAGTAGGGGATAGGAAAGGTAGCAGAATACAACAGTCACTAATATGGTATTATGTAAAAATGTGGATGTAACTGATGTGATTCTGCAACTTGTATTTGGGGTAAAAAATGGGAGTTCATAACCCACTTGAATCAAATGTATGGAAGATGATATGTCATGAGCTTTGTAATGTTTTGAACAACCAATTAAAAAAAAATAAATAAATAAAAAATAAAAGAGGTAGAAATGTAAAAAAAAAAAAAAAAGAAACATTACTGTAACTATATGGTGGAAAATGAAGGTAGGAAGACCAATCAGGATTCTAAGATAGCATTCCAGGTAAGATGCTGGTGGTAATGGATGAGGTTAGTGATGCTGGGAGAGCAGTAGGAAGGTAAAATAATTTTTTAGAAATAAAATAGAGAAGACTTGGTAATTTTTATATGTGGGGAGTGTAGGAGAAACAGGAGTTAAAGATGACAGGAACAAGTCCTATCTGAACATGGATAAGAGGAATATGTCATTTGCTGAGAAAAGAATTACAGGCAGAAAGGGTTTGGAAGGATGCTGAGCTCCTCTTTTTTGGATAGGCTTAATTTGAAATATTATGGGATAACCAGGGGCAAATATTGGGCAAGCAAATAAATGGATGAATTTTTTATTCTGTCCAGCACTCTGTTTCTGAATTGGAGATGCAGCTCAGAAACTGTTAGTATGTAAATGGCAACTGAAACCATGGTAGTGGTGACATTGTCCTAGGTGATGTGTGGAGAGATGAGAGAACAGGCTGTTGATCTGACCCCTAGGAACACCAAGAATTAAGTGTTAGGCATAGAAATAGGAGTTATGAAAGGCCCCCATATCCACTAATAATTCTGAAGCCTTAATTTGTTTATTAGTTTATATTCTTCTTGGCTACTAGATGTACTAACAGTTATAAAAGTATTACTTGACTTTTCTTTTTCCTTTACCTTGTAAAGACATAAACCAATGACAGAATTTTAAGTAACCTGAAATAAACATTTATAAAATAATTTAAAATATAATCTACACACCAAATGTCCCTTGATTGCTCAATGTCTAGTTCTATTTTGAATTTATATCACAACAGACCTTTACTTATACTGTGGTTTGTGCTTCAATAGTTCTGTAACTTATCTTTTTCTGATTGCCTGGAGAGTCTTTCATGGGTTTCCAGATCAGTGACAACCCAGGTTTTTCTCTGATCAAAACATGATTAATAGAAACATGTTTCAGAAGATAACTATGGCCCCTAATCCTCACATGGGAAAGATCAAGATACAGTTTTGGATGAAAATGGAAACATGGCCTCTAGGGGTGACTAATCAGTGGTGTGTTGATGTATTTTTAACAACTGACTTCTCAGAAAACAAAAACAAAAACAAAAACAAACCTTGATTTATAGTGTTTGTCAATTTTTATGGTATAAATACTCCCACCACAGCCAATGTAAGCTACCAGCTTGATATCATTAAAGGCAGAAAAGAAAAAATGTACACAATTTGTTCCCATAAGCTAGTGCAAGCTGGCTCCAGCACACACTTGGACTAAGAAAGATGTAACTGGTGAATAGATAAAAGAAAACACCTTGTATAAGACAGCAAGATATGAAAGGACTGAATTCTACAAAATATTCAGCTTTTACTTTAAAGAAAATTGATTACTCATGTGTACAGTCAGTTTATTTCTGGATTTTGACCTTTTCTTTGAATTGAGGGCTGACAGCATGGTGATGTATATATTAATAATCTAATGGCCTTAGCATTGTAACTTCTATTTCTTTATTCATAAGCAACAACAGTTTCTATAAATGGCTTATATTTGCCATTGAAATGACTGAGAATAATTTTCAATCTACTTTTTTTATACCATGAACCAAAGAAATTTTACCAATTTCATTTTAGGATATCAGTACAATCTACATTATAATATTTCACAAAAGAAAATATTTTATTTCCATCAAATAACTATTTTTTTCCCATATCAAACCAATAACATATATAGAAAGAAGAGCAGCAAAATAGTTCTTACTTCTTTATATAATTTAATAATACCCTATTAACACCAGTGTGCAGATGCACAGTATTGACAGTATACTAAATAATATTTAGTATATTAAAACTTCCTTTTAAAATATTTTCAACAGTAGGTACTGGTGGAACCATATTATTTATTATGTAGACAACATCTTTTTGTATTCCAAAGGGAAATTAAAATCCCTGGTAACATTAGAAAAAAATTACTTATTAATATTTTATGCAGATATACAAAATCTCCTAATAACTTCTATTGTACACAAATGAAAACACCTTTTCAAACAACTTGCACTTACACTGAGCTCATAAAGGTTACTATAAAAATACTGCAGACCCAATAAAAACACAATGAAATATACAAAGTCTTCTGTTTTTTAAAAGTCAATTTTAAAAGGCCTGTATTTATACAAACAAATGTACAATACATTTTAGTGCCCCTGACTGGTGTTTTTGTTTAGTATTGTCTGATTTTAGAAATGTAAGTTCAGTGTTTTTCATTATTTTCTGCTTCAGAATGGAAGACACTGAGAATTCACAGAATAATTTTAAAAACTGGATTGGGTAAAAACTTTATAAAGTAGAATATTAAACACTCTACATATAGTAGTTATTGACCTACCCAAGATAAAAATGCCCCAGAGTCCTATTTTCCTTTTTTAACTGGAATTCCTAGATGATTATGTTAACTACCTGTCCCTTGTTTAAATAGTCTTTGAGATGAAAGTATAAAGATTTTAGGTTCTCTAACAAAATCCAAAATATCATCAAAGCCATTTCCACTTCCAAAATGTATTTTTAAAAAATGCTTATTTAAATATCAAACCCTGCAGTGCTGAATTGAGACACACTAAACACATAGATAACCAATTACTGACTTGGCTTTAGCCTTCGAAGAATATTAGAATAGGCTGGTAATTTCCAATTTTAAGTACCTAATTTTATACTGTAACATGGTACTTTCTAATAAAGACATCAAGGAAAAACGAGCTGATTTTTTTTTTCTTAGAACAATATAGTAAAATATAGAACAATTTTCTGGGGGAGAAAATCCATGCCAAGCTAGGAAATACATTGTTTTAAATCTTAAAATAATTGTTATAAAAGAACTATAAAATTATAAATAATTGAAAAAATGCACTTGAAAATGTCTCTTTAGGAAAAATATGCAACTTGTTATATACAAGAAAATATGCATTACCATAGGGTATTATCCAATTATAGGCCTGGTTTATGAAACATTTAAAAAAACTCACAAAAAGTAATTAGCACCAAAATTGTCTAAAACTTCAAATGATATACTGGAGAAATTCCAGGTCCAACTGTTGCATTATAAAAAACTTATATTCAACCTGAGAACTTTCCCCAGGAACAATAAACATATTCTTTTCAGTCTTCAGAAAATATGCTAGCTTTATACATTTTCACCACAATATTCAGGCAGTGTATATACATACATTTAACTTGGTTTGGACCAAGCAGGGACAATAGAAATATAACTAATTCCTAAATAATATGGGATTATTTGATAGAGGTGGGGGTGGAACAATTTTCCAATTAAAATTTATGTTTAGCTTGTTTCCTCCTTTTTCCTCCAAGTATTTTATTGGAACTCTTTCTAATAACTATATTGCTTAATTTGAACTCAATATCCTATGATCATTGTTTGGTGGTGTTATTAAAATTCGGCATGGGGCTAGAGGTGTCTAAATGTGGGTACAGATCACAGTAGTGAAAAAAGAGTTTTGAATAAGCTAATTTCTACTCAAAATATATAGTTAATTTTGTTATAATCAAGAGTTGAGTTTAGCTTTAAACAACATACTTATAGATTTAATTACAAAACAGCCAGCACACAACCGAAACAGGGCAAACCTTTTTGGCCTTCAAATGTATAACTTCATTGATTACATACATGGCTAACGAATGTCCACTAACAATTCATTCGGCCAAGTTTTACTGCTGCACATAAATAATGACAAGGCAAAGGACAGCAACTAGTCCAAGGGCTTGTAGGCCAAGGAACCACAGCATAAGCCAAAAGAAAATGACTATTACTGGTTCCACAATTCGTTCTCCAAAATACATCCTTGTGAAGCCCATGTTGAGGAGGCTTTTGTTCAATTCACCAAAAAGTGTTCCCATCTTTTTGTAGTCATCTCCAACAGAATCACCAGTGTGGTTTTGTGATTCTTCAATATCCTTAAAAAACAAAAAAGAAAGAAAAAACAAAACATGAACATAAAACGGGAACTATGTAAAGGACTTCAAGAATAACAACTATTTTACAGTTATTCACCTCTCAAAACAGTAGGTATACATCTGATAATCATTCTATAAATCACATTAATTTAATACAATGATATGTTCTTTTTAACTGACACATAGAATACTATCTCTGTACCCACCTTTCAAGAATATAAAAGATACTAATTCATTGATTTCTATGGAATAAACACAAACTGAACCTGCAACTACCACAACACTGACTTACAAAACTAAGGAAACAGATGATTCATTTCCATTTATTTTTTAGTTTCCTGGAACTGCACAAAGATGATTGCTTAAATGAAAAACCATGTTTGTATCTCTTGTCAGTGACCATGCTTTCAGAGCAACCTTTTCAGCCACTCCCTGTTTTGTAAGGGAGGGCTTCTGATTACTTTGTCCTGTTAAGCGTCTTTTTAGTCCTTTCCTTTGACATCAAGATTTTAATGAACTAAGACTCAGCTGACTGGAGCATATTTTGTTGTTACTATTAAGCAATCCTCGGCCATTATTGTTGTGATCTTTCAGGCTTAGTCTCAGCTAGGCAGACTTTGGGGTAAGCCCTTGCATAGCTTCATCTCCAAATGCTACAAGGTCCTAAATGCCTTTTATTAATCTCATTAGGAGAAACAACTAAGGTCAAAAGTCAGTGCCCCAGAAAATGTTCAGGTATACTCAATTATATGTATACGAATGCTATTCCTAGTATTTCCCAACTTTATTACGCTTAAGGCCATCATGTCAGTTATTAAGCACTGTCTCAGCTTCAAATCTACTTCTATGGTTTGCACATTGTCTCCTCAAAGCTTCATGTTTGAGAACATGGTCTTCAGTTTTAAGTTAGAGCCCAGTGGGAGGTCATTATGTCAACAAGGGGCATGCCCTCAAAAGGGATTAAGGTATTTCTTTTGGGATCCCAGTTAGTTCTGACAATAGGACAGTTATAAAAGCCTGAGTCTGTCCCCATGCAGGTTTCTCTGGCTTCCTGCTTCCCCTTAATTTCTTCTTCCAGAACGTGCTCCAAAGTGAAGCAATCCACCTTGAGCTGATGTAGTCAAGGGGGAGCCCTCATCAGAGCCTGCACCATGCCATGTAGCATCCAGAACTGTGAGCAAATTTCTTTTCTTTAAAAACTTACTGTGTCTTAGGCATTTTCTTATAGTAATGAAAAACTGATTAATATACCGACTCTTTGGGATTTTGCAAAAATTTCTGGTTCTCTGGTTCTCCACCAATACAGGAACTAAAGCAACACTGCATAGGTGATGAAGGAAAAAAAGTATTTGCTCTTTTGTTGGCTTTGGATGGATTTCTTAATCCTGTTAGTCTCTCTAGTGACAGTTCTTCACTCTGGCAGTGATAAATCCTTCCAGTAGCAGTAACTGATTGCAATTTGGAAGTCTCTCAGTACTTATAGAATCTGTATCAATGTGCATTCTTTAGATATCAGTTCCAACTCATGGTTACCTCTTCCTCAGGTATTTGGTTCCCACGTCTATGGTGTTCCTTTTCTGAAATCATAGACACTGTTACCTAGTAAGCAATGACCGGTTTTCAGAAGTTTGTGTTTCAGTTGCATGGAGGGAGGGCTTTCCTCAGTCTCCTCAGTTTTAGAAATTTTATCTCTTTTCTTCACTGCCCCAGTCCTAGGAGTGGTGGCTGCTTCTGGCTGCTGCTGCTGTCACTATGACATCTTGGTGCAGTGGTTTTAAACTTGTTAAAGCACAGATTGCTGGGCGCATTACCAAGGTTTCTAATTCAGTAAGTCAGCAGGGTGAGGCTTGGAGTCTAAAAATTTGCCCTTCAAAGAAATTTCCAGGTGATGTTTATGATGCTGGTATGGTGACCACCCTTTGAAAATCACTACCTTAGTGTTTTATTTCTGGCTTTTCTTTTCTTGAACACCTATTTAAAAATTATTTATTATATTTGTTAAAATAATGGTATGCTTTCAATCTCCTCACTAGACTGTAGTGCAATCATAAAAGAAAAACCATGTCATGTAGCTGATGTAATTATAACATTAAAGCTAAGTTTTTTAGGAGGCATGACTCAAATAATTATTGAACCCTGCTCATATTATTCACAGTAGATGTAAGATGGAGAATTACTCATATTTTAAAAAACCTGTAGACACAGGGTTTCACATAAAAACAAGGAAGGTTTCACATAAATATGCTGTGCAGGCCAAAGGAAAGTAAAGCTAATTATTAAAACAAGTGGGTGTCTTAGGTATTTCCTTAGGTAATGAAAAACTGACTAATATATCTTCCCTTCGGAATTCTGCAAAATTTTCTGGTTCCCTGTTAGGCTCTGCCAACAGAGGAACCAAAGCAACACTGCATAGGTGGAAAAGGAAGAAGGGATTTCTTGCGACAACTCTGGCTGTTGCAGCCTGCTTCTTCTTTTTTTAATTATAAAACTTCTAGCATACACGAAATTAGAGAAAATAGCACAATGAATTCCTACATACCTATCCACCAGATTTAATAACTCCTAAAGTTCTGCCACCTTACTGTACCATTTCTTAACTTGGACAAGGAGCTGCCACAAAGTGCTAATAAATTTGAGGAAGTCGTAAGGCGTTCTTCACACCTGAATCAAACTTACATTCCTTTATCTGGATCATTTTAGTCTTCTACCCATAAATAACTAAAAATATATATATTTTTTCATTTTAAATAGGAGGGCTTGCTGAACACATGCCTGTAATCCCAGCTGCTCAGAAGGCTGAGGTAGAAGTTTAAAGCCAGCTTCAGCAACTTACCTTGGCCTTGTCTCAAAAAAAAAAACAAGAAGGACTGGGGATGTGGCTCAGTGGTTAAGCACCCTGGGTTTAATCCCTAGCGCGAGCACACACACACACACAAAAGGTCTTTACAATGTCTTATTTTCTATTCTGTATTACAGTTTAAAAATACATCTTTAAGGGAAGAGAGAATGGAAATTTTTTTTGTTAGAAATAGTCTGACAAAGTGATTTTCAATATGACTTAAGAAGTGGACTTTTTCCACATACTAGTAAGTTTTTTAAAATGTAAAATACCACAGGGGATTGATTTTAATTTTCATCAGAAAGGGCATGTGAAAAACAATGTGCTACAAAATTATCCAGGGAGTTTAAAGCCAGGCTGCAAAACTTAATTTAGCTGAGTGATCTTCTCCTGATTTCCTGTGTCTCAGTTTTCTAATCCATAAAATGGATTTATATGATTCTTTTTTGATTCTTATAATTTTCTTTAAAGTTATGATTTATATGTTCATCTCTCCTTTTTAAAATTTTTTTAGTTTTATTTTTTAGTTGTTGATAGACCTTTATTTATATGTGGTGCCGAGAATCAAACCCAGTGCCTCACACATGCCAGGCAACTGTGCTACCACTGAGCCATAGCCCCAGCCCTCCATCTCTCCTTTTTTAAAAACTTGATTTATACATTATTTTTTACTTTGCCCATTAAGCTATGATTGGGCTAATTTTTGTTTCCCATCAACCTGTACTTTTATGTGCTTCATGATAATACACTACAGCAAGACAATTTGTTCTAACTGATATTAAGCCTTTCTTTTCTTTAGGGTAGAATCTTAAGTCTTTAGCTTATAATTCTTCTAATCCCTCATCTCTCTCTACTCCTCAAGTATTCAGCATTATTGATATTATTTCTGGCTTCTTTTTACTCACTTTTTAATTAAAGTTATTTTTTATAACTCTTGATTTCTTATAATCTATATGCACATTGTACTTTGGGTTTTTTTTTTGGTTGTCACTGAAGCTCTTTAAGACTTTTTTTTCAGTAGTTTTGTGGTTTTAGTACAAAGAAAGTACCCTAATGTGATACGACAAGTATTCTCTGAAGATTTATTTTAAACTCTTTGTAAAATGAATTAAGTGTACAAATCCTCGTGCATTTTCCAGGGGAGGAAGTAGGTGTTACAACACTTAAATCAAACTAGGGGATGAGTTAACCGCTAGAGGCCAGGTGAGGAAACAGCTCTTCTCAAAACACTTGGTGGTGCACCTTAGATACAGCATTAATCAGAGTATTAATTTCCAGGATATTTAAAGAACTCAAAAAACCTAACACCAAAAACAAACAAACAAACAAACAACCCAATTAATAAATGGGCAAAGGAACTGAATAGACACTTCACAGAAGAAATATGATCAGGTAACAATTGTATGACAAATGTTCAACATCTCTAGCAATTAGAGAAATGCAAATTAAAACTACACCGAGATTTCATCTCAGTCCAGTCAGAATGGAAATTATCAAGAACAAATGTTGGCAAGGATGTGGGGAAAAGGGTAAATTCACATTTCTGGTGGGACTGCAAATTGGTACAAGCACTCTGGAAGTAGTATGGAGATTACTTAGAAAACTTGGGATCAAACCTCCATTTGACCCAGTTATTCCACTCCTTGTGCTATACCCAAATTACTTACAATCAGCATTCTATAGTAATGCAGCCACACCAATGTTTACAGCAGCTCAATTTACAACAGTCAACTATGGAACCATCCTAGGTGCCCTTCAACAGATGAATGGATAAAGGAAGTGTGATACATCCCCCCCCCCACACCACGCACAGTGGAATATTACTCAGCCATAAAGAAGAATGAAATTATAGCATTTGCTGGTAAATAAATGCAACTGGAGAATATCATGCTAAGTAAAATAAGTCAGTCCCCAAAAACCAAAGGCTGAAGGTTTTTTTTTTTTTCCCCTGATATATGGATGCTAACCCATAACATAGGAGGGTAGAGAGGGGAAGTACAGAACTTCATTAGATTAGACAAAGGGGAATGAAGGGAAAAGAGGGGTGACAGAAACAGGAAAGGTACTGGAATGAATCTGACTTAACTTTCCTATGTACACATATGAATATACTACATGAATTTCCACACCATGTACAACCACAAGACAGTCCTAATTAAAA